GTGGTCTGCCCTCCCGAGGGGGCCTGCCCTCCCAAGGGGGTCTAACCCCGGGGTCTGCCCTCCCGAGGGGGGCTAACCCCGGGGGTCTGCCCTCCCGAGGGGGTGGTCTGCCCTCCCGAGGGGGCTTGCCCTCCCAAGGAGGGCTAACCCCGGGGTCTGCCCTCCCGCGGGGGTCTGCCCCTCCCGAGGGGGGGCTAACCCCGGGGGTCTGCCCCCGAGGCGGTGAGCGGTGGTGATGCGCGGGGACGGGGCATCAGGTGTCCTCACGCTGCGCAGCTTCGTGTTGACAGTCGCTAAAGCACCAGGAGCAGAAGTCGCCCCTCCGGGAGTTGGCATCGGGCAAAACTGTGGGATTTGAGAGGACGAATTAATTGTCCTGACCATGAGCCTGGCACATAAGTACAGCCTGGCCATGCTTTTAAGCCTGTTCCATGAAACATTAATGAATTTTTAACAAAAGGGATGGGTTCTTGTTTTGGCAAATGCGTTTGCCCAAGAACCGAAATCAGATATCCTGGAATGTGGGACAAAAACGAGACAAGTCTGCTGCTGGCAAACGCATTCTAGTGTAATCACACCAAAGTAGAGGCAGTTGTGGTGTACTGGTAAAGATGGTTGCATTTCTTCTCTCAGAAATAAAGTGAAACCTGACAATGAGCTTTTGCTTATCCACCAAATTTGGTGCAAGTCTTACAAAAATTTGGAGTACCCAAGCAAATCAGTGAGTACATGGCAATGCTGCTACTTCAGTACGTGCTTGACTATTACAAGACATTAGAGAATCGTGACAGAAGAAAAGCCTTACTAGTGTCCCAGCCACACAAACAGCTTCAATTAGTGCTCAGAGCAGAAGACAAAATGTACAGGACACTTGAATTTGCTAGTGCTGTTGCTCATGAAACTACTTGTTTGTGTAAACTTCTTTGTTACACATGAAAGAACTTAAATTTTTAAGTTCAAGGCGTTTCTTTTTTTCCTAAAGCACTCTTCACAAAACGGTGTTCTGGCCTCTTTTGCCCCTCATCTCTGCCCCACTCCCCCCCCAGTTATTTAACTGCTTTATATCAAGGATAGAATCTTATAGAATGCTTATATTTTAGTCAACTTTACCAAGATGTGATTTTTTAAAAATTTTTTTTTTTTTTTAACATGCAGTGATTCTTCTCTTTCTCAGGACTACAGGAACAGATGTGTTTGGAATTACTGTACCTCTTATTACCAGTACTACTGGAGATAAACTGGGGAAGACTGCTGGCAATGCAGTTTGGCTAAACAGAGATAAGACTTCTCCATTTGAGCTATATCAGTTTTTTGTCAGACAACAAGATAACATAGTTGAAAAGTAAGTAGTTTTTCTTCATCTTCATGAAGAAAAGCATTTTGTCATTGTTTATAAAACCCGATCCTAACTGTTCTCTGTACTGTTTTGCGTGGATATGTGCAACGCAAGCTCCTTGTAGAAGTATATGTTAATTATAACTGTATGTTTGTTAAATAAACAGGCATGACTGGTTCCTAAGTATACAGGATAGTGGAACCTGTCTCCATATGCTGGCATATGCATCATAAAATTAGAACATGGATGAACAAACAAGTAAAGCACAACGCATTTTGTTCTGCCAGTGGGGTGACTTTGTCTTACGAGGCTTGTTAGTTTCAGTACTGTAACAGCACAGTATCAAATGAAATCTCTCCTGCTGAGTAATAAGAACTGCAGTTTAATAGATCTCAATTACTACACATTTTTACCTAGTATGAGGTATCCAGAAACACCACATTCTAATTGCAAGAAGCTACTTAACTGGTTGTAAACAAACACATAAAGTTCAGCTTCTAGAACTGCATCACATTAAAAACTGCGTATCCCTAAGCGAATTGAAATACCCCCTTGTTAGGAAAAAGCCAAGAAGTTCCTATTTATGATTGCATTAACTGTCTAGATTAGCGGTCTCCAAATTTTTTTGATCATGTGCCCCTATTGGTAAAAATAATTGTGAGCAGGCACTCCCAATACATGTATATTTATTTATAGATTATATAAATGTACTACTGAAGTTCTAAAATTTTCTTCCTGCACCCCAGTGGATCATCTTGCATACCTCCTGGGGTGCTGGCACCCCACTTTGGAGACCACTGGTCTAGATAAAAACATGCCTAGGAGACCGTTACACTGCCCAACTACTACTTAAAGACAAAGTACAAAGACAAAATTCTGAATAATCGTTACTTAGGGTAGAGCAATTCCAATGAGCAAAACCTGGTCTTGGATTCATTGTGCTGTCTCTGAATCCACGTCAGCCACACATAACTCATATTCTTACTCACCAATGTAAAAATACTAAAATCATATAATGAGAACATGAAAGGGTAGCGAAAATACGAGAAATACCATTTGACAGGTTTCCTTCATTGATGGCTAGCTTCCATGCTGGTGTGCCAGTTACTTGGCTGAAACTAAATAGCCGATAGCTTTGTTCAGGGCATTACATTAATTTTAATAAGTTGTTTTATGTGGTGTATGTTTTAAATCTGCTTTTCTTTAAACTCCAATATTGCTGTGAAATCTGAGTCTTCATAAACCTCAGGCATGTACTTCCCTTTCATATTGTGACCTGTCTCATAACTTAGTTACCTCTCTCAAAGGTTTATGCCCTGATATTTCAAATTTAGGTTCTGCATCCGCAACAATTTACAGAGTGATAAGAAGGGTATGTGGGTGGTTAACATTAAAATGTTTCATGCGTTCAGACTTTGTAACAGTAAAGGTACCTTTTCTAATACACTGCATTTCATGCTACTGCAAGTCCATTAAAATGGACTATGCTTAGATATGCACCTATAAATTCCTGATTATCCTAAATAATCTTCCTGTTGAGATACTCACTCATCAATACATAGCATACTTCTGTCCCGTGAACACCATAGAATGGCAGTGGTATTTTGCATTAGCATATTGTGCAACTACTAAGAATATAATATAAAACCTTGTTAGCTGACACACAATTGCAATAAATCCTGTAAAATAAATGTTTCAAGAGAAAATCAAGTTGTTGATTGCAATACAAGCTTTATAAAAGCCTTTGACGCTATCTTATGTCTGAAGACATTACCCTGAAGAAATTCCACCCTAAGTGGAATATTAAATAAAAGGTGAGTTATCCTGGTAAGCTGAAGCCTGCAGGCAAAAACAAAGAGTTGTTTGAAAGGACAGAATATCTGTAATAGGGGTTTCTTAAATTGATTAAGAATCATTTTAGTGTAGTTAATGAAGTTTGAATGACAAAGGCAGCAAATCTGTAATGATGGCTATGTAGACAAAGTAATTTTTTCTTTGCTCCTAGATACTTGAAACTCTTCACCTTCCTTCCTCTTGAGGAGATTGACCACATCATGGAAATGCACGCTAAAGAACCTGAAAAATGGGGCCCTCAGAAACGACTTGCTGCAGAAGTAACCAAGCTTGTTCATGGTAGAGAGGGGCTGGAATCTGCTAAGAGGTGAAGTTTGATTTGTCGAGCAGTTTTCTTTCAGATTTATTCAATGGTAATTATCCATAGCTTTTCAGGGACTATTTCCATGTAGCTAGTTGTTGCTCAGCTGTTAAAAGAGAGAAATGTAGTAATTCCGTAGACTTAAAGATACATTAACAATACAAAAAGAATTGCAGTGCAGTGGGTTATGATAAAAAAAAATTGGGCTGTACTTCAAGAACTTCTGTTACTGTATGGACCCTCAGAAGAAGTTGGGGAAGGGAATCTGATTAGTTGAGTAGCACTTTGTGTGAAGATGAGACTAGCACTGTATTTTGAATGATCTTTGCTCTCACAGGTGTACTAAGGCCCTTTATTACAGCAGCGTGGAGGCATTGGAAGCTATGTCTGACCAGGAGTTACAGGAACTTTTTAGACAAGCTCCTTCAGCAGAATTGATGCTTGAACCTGGAATGAATGTTCTTGACTTGTGTCGCAAAGCAAATGCCATTCCAGATGGACCTAGCGGGTATGTTACCACCTGGGCTCTTCGGTAATACCTCACGTGAACAGGTTGTAGTGGTGTGCTTTCGGAAGTTAAATGATAAGGACAGCCAAATCAAGTAGAAACAGGCTAGCAATCTACATACCAGCATTAAAGAAGAGGGGAGCAGGCGGCCTCGTTCCGTTTTGAAGTGAAAGTGTAGGATAATGCAGTCTCATGTACCTTAGCTGTAAAATCTGCGCCTGATGAAGGGACAGTCTAAAGGCAACAGCCTAAGTTTCCTTGTACCTCTCAGAAAGAATGGGAGTGGTAGAGGCTAAGGTTAATTTCAGTCATTCTTGACCTGGACTGAAAGTAAAGCATGTGAGAATTAAAATTTATTCAATTATGGATCTAGCCAAAAAACCCAAAACTGAACTTTCAATACTTAGCAGCAATAAATAGCTGCTTCTTGCAATTACCGGTTGTTGTTTTTGGTTTTTTTTTTAAGGTACCAGAAAATTACAGATGGTGGAGTTTCAGTAAATGGGATTCGAGTAACTAATCCTGAGACTGTTCTTATTCTCGGACAGCATATTCTCAAGAATGGAGTGTCATTGCTTAGGATTGGAAAGAAAAATTACTACATTATAAAATGGCTGCAGTTGTGACAACAGAACGTCTCCCTAAAACAATGCATCATTTCGACTCTGTTGCTCGAAGATGTACTTGAAGATGTTTCTATACTGTGCGTTACTACACAGCTCTCAAGACTGTCCAATACCGTAGTTTCATTCTTAAAATAGACCAAGAGTTCAAATAAAGGCAGCTAAGTTATACCACTGAAAGGATTTTTAGATACGCTGCCTTATTCAAAGCACCATTCATAAGAGGATATGCACAAGAAGATGAAAAGATGAATTTCAAAGTCCAAAGATGGAGATGCTCTTCCCCTCCTTTAACAACCTTCTGTGTTGTAGGAGGAGAACAGTGGCCAGGTATTCCACAGCATAATCCACAGCAAGATGAGCAAAAGCATACTCGAAACCAGTACTTCTTACAGAGGATGTGTGCTGCTGTCCAGTTTGACTTCATCCTAACAGAGAAACCTGCGTAAGTGGGTAAGGACAACCAACCTACGATCAACATTTTTTTTCTGAACAGGTTTGCTTTGAAGGAAGCTGCAGAAGATTCACAATAAATGAGTAGAATGATTAAGCCCTAATATGTAACCTTCTTATTGGTTATGTGTGGGGGCATGTTGCAAAAAAGCTTTCCAGCCTTAATGTGGTAATAGAGAGCAAATTCACTTTTTGAAATGTAAGAGAGAGAGCATAGAGCCTTTCAAACCTTAAATCAGCCTGATGAATCCCTTTTATGTCTTCTGTGTGCTTAGTGTGACTTACAACGTGGGTGACACTCACTCCACTTCTTCAGTGCTATAAATTACATGGATGCATCTGTGCTATTTAGAATCTTTGTCAAAGGTATATCCTGGCTCTAGTTCTGTGGGCTCTACCGTTGGTTGCAAGATAGTGTATTATACCAGAAGATTTGAAGCATGTACATGAAAGCTTTTTTAATTTTAGACGCCTAGGAGTTGTGGGTGAACAGCAGCACAAGGGTATCTGGACTAGGAAACATGTGAGGGAAGCTACAGTGCTTTTGCAACTAAAAAAGTCAGACCCTTCAGATAAGGCAACATGCAAAAGCTGCACTTCTTCATAAAAGAGCAGAAAGTGGTTAATTGACTTAGAATACAGTAACATAGCTGGCTGGCTGGCTCAGAACTTTTTTATTAAGGGACCCTCCCTGCCACAGTGCAACGATGTATGAAACCCTCAGGCTGATTTCTGAGGTGATGGATTGCTTTGGGCCTTGGCTGCAGTGTTGTTTTCAAGGTTTACGGTAATCCTCAATCTTAGGCCAAGGAGAATCATTTCCCAGTCCACTGAACTCCTAGACAATACAGTTTCGCAGCCAC